ACTACAGGAGACTGAAACATGAGAAGGAATGCACGGACGAAAAAGTGAAAGTCCACGGAACGGAGCTATACAACAAACGCCAGTCAATCCAATTGCCGGAGAGATTGTTTGTGTCGCACAAGATGCTGACGTCTTTAATGCCATGGAAACGCTCATTATCAGACTTCAAGACCTGAAGAACTCGAAGCAGCGCGGGTCAAATTGACACTCGTAGAGTTATAAAACCCAGCGTGCCTGTCTTTGGAGACAATTGGTGGTTTGTATTGCCTTCCAGTGGTTGCTTTGGAAACCGATGAAAAGTTGTAATTCACAAAATTGACAGCTGAAGTTGGTTCAACTTATTAAAAAAAAACAAAAAACAAAAAAACCTTTTTATTGGTATTGTTTTTGTTTTTGTTTTTATTTTATTGGAGAGATTCATTTTTATTTCGGTTATCTGTTGCTGTCTTTGGCTTTCTTTTTTTTATATTTTTGTTGTTTGTTTTAACTTTGCTCAAGACAAGCTCTTCAAAGAGCGTGCTATTTATCTTTTTTTCATATGCAAATAAATGCTTTACAATCACTGGAAACAGAATATTTGAATGAGATATCGGTATTCCCTTATACGGGGTGTCCACTACAGCTGGATCGGGCCGATCGCTCGACTCGATCGCCTGAAACTGAAAACAAACACGTTTGTTTTTGAGCGATTGTGTCGGGCGATGGGCCCCGATCGGCCGATCCCGTCCGTAGTGGGCACCCCGTATAACATGCTGCAACACTACATTTGCTGGAATGATCGCGGAGTAAATCGTCGCACATAGCAGAATATATCGCGGGAAGTCACGGGGAAGCTGTTTGAGTCTCTCTTTGGAATTAGGGTGAGATGTGATATAATTATATAAGACTGTTAACCTTTTTCTCAGTGTAAGAGTTCGCACTACTCCACTTTAAAAAGTGACCTTTGATGGAGTCCAAAACAGAACATTCGAAATACTCACTTCAGCGAAAACTTTTCAAAAACCCTTTGTAGCATGAGGCATGCGGCAATCATTGTTAGTAATTCAAGTTCTCCATACTCGTTGTTTTAAGCATGGAAACGCATTAAAGAACTCAATTTTAAAAATACATCACCATAAGGTATTTGGGGTGGGGGTGGGGGTGGGGGGTAATTTGTCCACAGAGGTTGACGCCATGAGCTCAGGCTATTTTCGTGTGATGGCTTTGTGTCCATAGCAATGGTTATTATGCATACAAAGACTTGCGATGTAAATTCGCCTCAGATTGTTTATGTAAATATTGTAATGCCGCTCGGGGACTTCACTGATGGTTTCCTCAACAGTCCACACAGTAGGATGACACGACTCAGCTGCACTGTTGTCAAACAGCGTAAACTGAAGACATAAAGAGACGGGGGAGAGAGAGAGAGAGAGAGAGAGAGAGAGAGAGAGAGAGAGA